GGAATATATTGTTTGAAATCTAGACGGAATAGTAAATTCCATTTTAGTTAACAGGGATCGATCGAACGCGGGTAAACAGATATATATCCAAACAGATAAAAACTGAGCGTTGGTACATTGTTAGTGCGCTATAGAAATTATTGTGTGTGGATTAATCAGCGGCAAACTTTGCACACGTGTTTTCAAATCCGGCCCACCTCGTGCTACGTGCAGCGAAATTCCTATTCCTTCTATGAATTTGTTGGTTTTGAAGAAAAATGGACTTTTAATAATTGATAACATACCACTTCCGCGTAAGCGAAAGCGGTAGAACTCAGTTTTATTCCACGATTGGGGATTAGGGTGGGCGGTGATTTACAGCGATGTGGACCAGAAAGTATTTGCCTTGCTTTACAGAAGTAGAAGAAAGCCGAAACACAGATAAGTTGAGCCTTTAGGCTTTGACCATACATTACCAGTGTTACCCGTGTACTAGCCCCTGGACTAGTAACTAATTTTACTGGTGTTACTAATGTTACTCATGTTGTTCACCAGTCGGGAGATCGCGTTCTAGGATGATACTGTTTTGTTATCATCTCATTGCTCAACAGCAATAAATGCGGTAACACTGTAAAATAGTAATACGAGTAAGACGGGTAATAGGTAACACGGGTAACACGGATAACGCGAGTAACATTAGTAACATGGATAACACTGGTAGTGGCTTAAAGACTCAGAGCCAAGCGCCGGTCTTGCTTTTTATTGAGTCAGCTGAAAAACGGTGCGGGCGAAGCCGACCATGCTAGCTAGTAGCTTATATTACAGCCCATTGACTAACAATGGAAGCGTGTTTAGTCGAAGTCGCCTTTCCATGTGATACCTATATGGCTTTGTAGAGCATTGAACGATGATTCCAAATCCGTCTTCGCTATCTGCCTCTGTAGGCCGGGTTATGAACGTTTTTTGAGTTGAAGAAGTATGCGCAGCTGAAACAAAATCGTCCAAATTGATCGAATGGTGGGTGTCAATTGTCGGAGCACTTTATTTAATGAGTAGGTTCCTCCTTTCTGATACCTTGATATTCAGTGTTGCCCTGTTTTAGAGCAGAAAAGACCGTGACTGTTCTTACAGGGAGTCTGCGTCCATTTTTCGCTCCAGGAAACTCACAACTCTTCTTACAGGGGAGCTTGGGAGGTAGTGAAAGCAGATTTGGAAGCGTTCAATGCTCTTCGAAGTTTTATAAAACTCGTTTGGAAAGACCACATCGACAAGACGCGCTTCCCTTCCCTCGTAAAAAAACAACAACAAAACGTATCAGACGCATCATCATAATCTCCTTTCAAGCTTCAAAAAGGGTATTTTTTCAACGTTTTACGCTAATGTGGGTTTTGCAATACATTCAGTAGTGATATCAGCATGTACTTACAAACCCGCGCCCTCGTTTACGTCAAGGCCAACTGTATCACATTGTTCACAGGAAATTTTTAGACTCCCAGAGAATGTTACCTTTGATGAAGCTGCTATGCTTGAGCCGTTAGCCGTAGCAGTTCATGCCTGCCGACGAGCGGAAATAGAGGTCGGAGAAAGCGTTTTGGTGCAGGGAGCAGGTTAGAGGCATAGAGCTTGTGTGGATATTGAATAACGGACCAATGGATACAATCAACGTGTCTTTCAGGATCAGTAGGAACGTTGTGCATGATGACGGCATAATCACTGGGTATTCGTCAGATTGTGATTACAGACCTGGAGCAACGTAAATTAGATGTTGCCAAGACTGTCGGAGCTGACCACACTGTTTGCACCAAGTAAGAAATAAGTCTAAGCTAAGGAAGTCTCGACTGAGTGTTTTTAGGGACAAGTCGGTGGAGGATGTTAAGCGGTCAGTGATCAACTGCTTGAAATGTGAGCCTGACGTGACCATCGAATGTACAGGAGCGCAGTCTTGTTTAGAATCGTCTATTTCGGTGACAGGCCAAAATTTAGTCGTCCAAGAAAGCTTTGGTTGATTCATTTCATTTTGGGCTACACGATCTGGAGGAAGAATTGTTATGGTTGGCCTTGGTCATCCACGAGTTGAGGTGCCATTGATCAACTGTTGTTTGAGGGAAGTGGATATCAGAGGTTCATTCAGATTTGCAAACGAGTAAGTGACTACTTGAAAACACTAGAGCATGTTACGGCTATGCTCCTAATAATGATTTCTGCTCAGGTATCCAACCTCATTAAATCTTCTTGCTTCAAAGAAAGTGGATATTTCAAGATTCACAAGTGCGCATTACAAATTGGAACAAGTCGCAGAAGCTTTGCAGCGGACACAAAAAGGAGACGTAGTGAAAGTATTTGTACAATGCTGACAAGAAATTGAAATCAATTAAATTTCTGAAATGAAGAATACTTGTCTCCCAGTAGTTCATCGCGCTGCATAAGGGAGCGGCCATACTATTCCAGTAATTCCTGCTATTCCTGTGATTCCTGCAATTCCTGTGATTCCTGCGATTCCTGGACTTTCTATGCGCAAAACGCTGCTCTTTGTCGTTTGGTGTTGCGTAAAGGGGA